TGTCCGTGAAAATCCGGACGTATGGTAACCCTAAGTTCGCCTAGTGGTTGCACTGGCCCTGCTCTGAGGCCTGTTATTAGTGCAAGGCCTTGTGGAAGTAGTTATGCTAACAGCTCCGTTTTAGGTGAGAAAAGGGCAGGTCTAAGACAGTAACCACTGGTCATAAATTCTGCACTCTCATTTGGAAGGACAAACAAGTAAACACAAAGAATACAGCACACCAAAGAATTCTGCTAGAAGGGGGTTTTGGAGAGGGTTTTAGCAATCTCCTTACTAGACAGATGGACCACAAAAACCTTGAATTATTACGAAATGAGTGATGAAAAATTGTTCTTCTTAACCTCTGAGGATAGGACAAGAAGCAATGGGCTTAAATTGCAGCAAGGGCGGTTTAGGTTGGACATTAGGAAAAACTTCCTACCTGTCAGGGTGGTTAAGCACTGGAATAAATTGCCTAGGGAGGTTGTGGAATCTCCATCATTGGGGATTTTTAAGAGCAGGTTAGACAAACACCTGTCAGGGATGGTCTAGATAATACTTAACTCTGCCTTGAGTGCAGGGGACTGGACTAGATGACCTCTCGAGGTCCCTTCCAGTTCTTTGATTTTATGATGTGGGTTGTTAATATTAAGATGCGTGATTGTGGACCCCAGATATGCCACATATTGATGAGGGATAGGTATTAATCTGTTACAGTCACAGAAGATGATCAAATATGGTTGGGTTTTCAAAAAATTAAACAAAGAAGGGATATAAAAGATCCAGTCTAGTTCCCTAATTTTGGGGTTCATCAGTTTCCCAAGACAGTGTAAACTGAATCAGCTCTCCCTTCAAATGGGCTGCACTTACTTTTCCTTCCCATCTTTGTTTTGAATGGTCTTCACAATATAAGATTGTAAGTATGAAAATGCAGCAAACCACGTTATTGTACTGATCTTATTTTTATACTTGTGCAGACTGATTTTTCTATTATTTCAATGATATTTGTCTACGTTAATTAAAGATTCTGTGTCTGCTTCACCAAATTTTATCTTCTTAATTAACTCCAAGCAGCAACCTGAAAAAGAACCTGTGATCTGTGACAAATGTATGTTGCATCCCAATAAATAATTATAATTGTAATAATTAATCAGGCTACAGTGGCATCACAAACAGGAGTGATGAAGCACATAGCAGAGACCCTGTGGCAGGGGCGGTAGTGGGGGGCCTTGTGGGGGCTATAGCCACCCCAAAATTTACCTTAGCCCCCTTGTAGCCACCCTATAACAGCTGCCACTCTCCAGCCGTCCAGTTCTGAAGGCAGAGCAGAGAGAGTGGTGGCTGCTGGCCAGGCATCCAGCTAAGAGACTCAAAAACTAAAGGAAAAACTCAGAAGAAGTAGAAGAAACAGCAGAATAATGCTAACCAGTGGTTCTCAACCTTATTCTTTCCAAGTCCCTCCCACCCCCAACATGCTATAAAAACTCCAGGCCCCGGGGGGCAGGCCTCAGGGCTTCAGTTGTGGGATACCGGGGCTCAGGGCTTCTGCCTGCGGGGTGCTGAGGTCCTGCCCCATGGGGTGCCATGGCTTGAGGCTTTAGCTCTGGCGGTGCGGGGGCTCAGAGTTTCTATCCCATAGGGCAGGGAGACTCAGGGCTTCGGGCTTCAGCCCCGCAGTTGGGGGGGTTTGGGGCTTCTGCCCTGCGGGGCCCTGGGGCTCAGGGCTTCCACCACGGGGTGCCAGGGCTAGGGGCTCCAAGCTTTCTGCCCTGGGCCCCAGCCAGTCTAAATCCAGCCCTGCCACACGGACCCCCAGAGACCAGCTCGCGGATCCCCAGAGGGCCACGGACCCCCCAGGGGCCACGGACCCTCCGGTTGAGAACTGCTGCAATACGATACATTCTCTTTCTCTCTGATTTATAATGTTGGAGCAAAGATTTACAATGATTTAGATCTGGTCATTTGTAACTACACAGGATTTCAGAAGCATTTGATAAAAAGAACTAACTTATCTATAGAGAAATTGTAAGCACGATACCTTGAATCAACTTATTTTCAACAGCTGAATCAAAGGAACTACAGCAGGATTGAATTACCTACCACAGAAATATATTTTTTCATATAGCATCTACTTTTAATTTAAATCTGTTTTTGTCATAAAACCTACAGCTGCATAAACCATGATAGCAGGTTGTGTACCCATAGGAAAGACGAGTAATTTTACATGACTGATCTTCACTGTTTTTTAATTCCTTTTCAGGCATTGACCATGTTAGCATTAGACTGGACCTAGAAACCTTATTCCAGTTCAGCCATCTTATACTGACTTTTAAGGTACTCTGTTTAGATATTTTACTTGAGCCTTCACATAGCTTTATGTAAAGAACATCATGGTTGCAAAGTCAAGCACTCAAAAGTTAGGAATGACAGAATTAAGGTTGCCTGTGCAACATTAATTTGGCCCCTCTGTGTCTATGATTTATTTTATAGTCTTTAATTACATGGTCACATACTATTTTTCCCAAAAGACCCCTACTTGGTTCTCTTAAAATTGCTTATTCACCATTTTCCCCAGTTTTGGGTAGTAGTAGTGATTCATTTTTGCTGAGAGAACTCAGTTGATGAACCCTGTTTCTTATGTGCTTCAGTTCATACTTAGACAGTCTGTTTCAGAAAATCAAGTATCCCAGGTAGTTGACTGGGGAATTAATCCTGCAAGCCCGCATGCTTGGAATTGTCATCAGCTGTTATTGGAGTTCCATGTGGAGAGGGCTTGTAGGTTCAGACCTTAGGGCTTATGAAAGCAACATAAGCTAAACCGGAAAAGCCATTATTTGGAAGGAGTGTTTGCCAGGAAACTTCCCCTTGTAGAGAGAAACCCTTCTATTTAGGGTATATCTACACTGCAGTCGGGGACATACTCATGTGAATTTTGATATAGCTTGAGTAACAACAGAAGTGAAGCCATAGCAGCACAGGCTGCTGCTGGAGTGTGGGCCCAGGGTCCTGGGTGGGTGTGGCTAGATCAAAGCTAGCTCGGGTACGTCTCTATGTGCTACACTCATACTTCCCATTTGCTGCTGACATACCCTTAGTTCTATTAAAAGCTTGTTCCAAAAGTCTGTTTAAAGAATTATTGCAACAATGTTTCTTCCAGACATTTCGGCCTGCGGCAATGTTGGTTGAGCGCTCCGCAGACTATGGTCACACCTGGAAGATATTTAGATATTTTGCACAAAACTGTGCTGAATCTTTCCCCAACATCCCTTCTGGTCCGGCAAAAGGAGTGGGAGATATTGTTTGTGATCCAAGATATTCAGACATTGAGCCCTCCACTGAAGGCCAGGTATTTCTTAGTGTTTGTGCTTTTTTTACTTCAAATTACACTGATTTTCTTCTCATGCCAATGAGAGATCAGCGAGCCAGTTTGTATTCCACGTCTGATTCTTCTCACACACTGGTTTTACAAGGGGAAATGCCTGCAATGGGTTACACTGAGAAGAAAATCAACACCACTCAGTTTTATTTTGAGTTTCAGGTTCAAATGAACACATACAGAAACTCATCCAAAACTATGTAGTTTCTCCAGGTTTCCACTCTAAATCGTAAGTCCCTCCCCACAACAGGTCTTCACTCCCCCTAAACTTCCACTGACCTGTGCAGAAGCCTATTCTCTGATATCTGCAGGTGACAGCCAGCTGGCTCCCTTCTTTAGCTTCAACCTGTGGGGCTGGGGGCTGGTCTCTCTAACAAATCCCCCGAAAGGGTCTTCTGTCTCCCCCACCAGTTTTTCAGTAAGGGGACTCAAAAGCTTTACGGAGTCCCATGGGACACTGATGGCAATTGCCACGGAGAAGCATCAGAAGGGCCAGCATTAGATTAGCACCACCATCCATTGGTTTTCCTGCATCCTTTCTGCTCCTGTTCCCTTCACCTACAACATACCCTTTCTTCCAGTATGGAACTTGGGTTCCAGAAATTTAGTCTACTTTAATTACAGCAAAAAGCTCTGCTCCCAGTTTTTCTGAAAGTCTCACAGGCCTCAAATGTTTTGGCACTCTTCATTCCCATGTATAAATCTGAAACCAGCAGACTTTCATATGCCTTTGAGTGTCATAAAAAATTGAATAGCTCTACTTATAATGCATAAAAATCATGCTTCATGCAAAAGCTAGCTGAATATTATTTGTTAAATAATATTTATTAAATTTTGCATTATTTTATTAACATTTTTGTTATTATTTGCCCAGAATCTAAAATGGGGGAAATAATTTGTGAATACTCACCAATATTTACAAATTTCATGAACATGTTCCAATAAAATATTCACAAATAATTTTAAAAACTAATTAGCCATTGTTTAAATTATTTTTGAAGATAAATATATTGTATTCACCCAGCTTTACTTCATACAACCTGCACGCACACAGCTAAATTCAATGTTTAGGTGTCCTAATGCATCACTAATAACTGTATACAAGATAGTAGCTGCTCATTTTAGCTCTGTTGCTATATACTGATATTTAGTATTAATTAGCCTTGAAATATTTCCAAATTTATAAAAAGCAGTGTACTAGGAATTTGTTTTTTGTAAGTTTCATAGGGCTAAAAAATAATTTTTAAAAATAAGAGTTACACAAAATTTCACAGCAGTTTTTGATTTTTCAGTAAAACAGGTACCATTATTCTCAGGGAAATGAAGATCACATATTTGCAAAAAGCATTAGACTCACCAACAAACATTTATATAGAAGGATACCCAAGAGAATTCTATTTAAATTATTTAACTTCTATTCCCCTTTGTCACAGGGAGCAGATTCCAGTTCCCCACTCGCTTTTAAAGGGCCCAGTCACCCTGTGACACCCCCCCCCATTCATCTTTTCCGCTTCAGTCTCTTATGTTAGTTACTATCCTGAAGAGCTTGTTAGCAATTCTCCATTTCATTCCCTTCTGAATCCTGCACATCAATGTAATATTGACCCTCAACCCAGCTTTACACAGGGCTGAGCTAGCTATTTCTTTAATTCCATACCCCTGCTCCCTTGGACCAATTTGGGTCGTGCTTTGCTACATTGCTACAAGTCAGCAAAGCACTTAAGCAGATGCTTGACTTCAAGCACAATTATAAGTGCTTTGAGCCCTCATTTAGGAATGTAGTTATGTGTCCAACTTCAAACATCTGTGGGGGAGAGTGTGGGGGTCCCGGGCTAGGGGTGGGGTCATGTGGGATGTGGTCACAGGGGTTACTCCCCTGACCCCCAGCATCTCGCCCCCCCCCCAAAATGTCCCCACCAGTTGCTGTCCCGGCCAGTCAGGGTAAGCTGCTGGCAGGCCGGGACACTTTGTTTACTTAGGTTTACTTCCGTGCGTGCAGCCGCTCAAGGTAAACAAACCATCTCGGCCTGCCAGCAGCTTATCCTGGTGGCCTGGGAGCCAAAGTTTGCCGAACCCTGAATTATAGAGTCGGCTTATGAATGGGTCATAAAAAATTTCCATTTTAACTTATCCATCTTGGGGGGGGGGGGTCGGCTTATAAACAAACCGGCTTATGATCGAGTATATACGGTAATTTGTTTTACAGGTTGTCTTAAAAGCTTTGGATCCCAGCTTTGAAATAGAAAATCCTTATATCCAATCTATACAGGGTATGTATAGTTTGGGTTTTCTTTACACATAGTTATTTGTTTGTCTTGCATGTTAAATACTATGGTCTAGATCCTCAGCTAGTGTAACTCGGCGTAATGTAGCTAATTTACATCAGCTGAGCACCCTGTAGATTTTCAAGTGAACAGAGTTTTTACGTTAATTGTGGTTCTTTATTTCCTTTCTCTTATCCCAGAGCTCATCACTTTAACAAACCTGAGAATAAATTTCACAAAACTCCACACTCTTGGGGATACTTTATTTGGAAGAAGGCAAAGTGATCTCCTTGAAAAATATTATTATGCAGTTTATGAAATGGTTGTCCGTGGAAGTTGTTTTTGTAATGGTCATGCCAGCCAATGCAGTCCAGTGCAGAAACTGCGGGGTGATGTTTTCTATCAGCCTGGAATGGTAAGCTATAAAACTTCCAGTCCTAAAAGGGATTCCCTATATGGTAATTTTTGGATGATTATCCTTGGATTGTAATTTGTGATTCAACATTTTAAAAATATTTTAACATTGCGTCCTCCATTAAAAACACTGGGCCAGATTAAAAGAGACCAGAATCTGACCCCTGTTGGCACTAGAGTGGTAGTTCTATAATAACTGACACACAAACATGTTAATAATAGCATGAAAATACCAGAGCTGTAATGGTGCAAATGTAATCCAGTAAGTAATCTGTGTTGTGTGCAGATTTGAATGGCTACTTTATTGGGTACATTCCATAACACCAGTAGGGTTTGGTGAAAACTCCGCTGCATGAAAAGAGTCATCAGCACAAAGAGAATTCCCTGTTTCCACATTAAAAACAAACACACTGGTGAACAACAGATTGTCCAAGGAGTCAGGAACAGAATAAAGTGTTTAAACCTCAGTGTCTGTCAGTAGAAGTATCTTTGCTAAAATTTGTTCAATATCTTTAAGACAGGTTGGTTATTGTTTCCACACACTGTCCATGCCTCTTGCTCATGTAACTGAGAATTGTTTCTGTCACATGAGGGAGCCAGAGGGCTCTGAATTTCTCTGCTTATGCTGGCATACCAAAAGCCTAGGGTTACTTAGGTATTTTAACGTGTGAACATTTTAGGTTGGCATATAGCATTTTGGGGGGGATCTATCCAGCCATACGAGTACATAGGACTCTTCATATGATGTAGAACTGTTCAATTTTGGCAAATGACAAATTTGTAGTTTTAAAGCTTATCTCAGCAAAGAAGTCAAAGTCACCCTTGAAATCAGTTACTTTCTGGAGATGAAACAAACATCAGGAATACCATGTTTCGTTATAATTAACATACTAAATTTCTCCCTCTGAGAGAGAGGCAACCTGATCTGGTTCTGGCACTATGGAAGTTTTCAGTCTTCAAGAATCAAAAAGTAATATATTATCCCACATGAAAGAAAACTATATTGGGGTGGGTGTGGGTGGAGTGTTTTTTTCCTGCCAAATGGCCCAAAGTCAATGGACTAAAGAAAATTCAATTATTTTTGTTGTTGTTGACATGTTGCAGGTTCATGGCAGGTGTGTCTGTCAGCACAACACTGCTGGCATGTCCTGTGAAAGGTGTAAAGAATTCTACAATGATGCTCCCTGGAGGCCAGCCGAAGGATCGCAGGATAATGCTTGCAAACGTACCTGACAAATAGTTACTTAATTTTCATCAGATAGTTGATAGCACAGTACAATACCATGCATTGCCTACAAGGACAGCTGAGCTTTCACATGGGCTTGTTTCTCATGCTTAAACCCCGCAGAATAGGATATCCTAGATGGATTCAGGTGTCAGCGATGCACTTTCAGGAGAGATGTGTGGCAACTGTGCTGCATCTCCTGGTGGTATATCCGTATACACCGCTACCTCGATATAACGCGACCTGATATAACACGAATTCGGATATAACGCGGTAAAGCAGTGCTCTGTGGGGGCGGGGCTGTGCACTCCGGTGGATCAAAGCAAGTTCAATATAACACAGTTTCACCTATAACGTGGTAAGATTTTTTGGCTCCCGAGGACAGTGTTATATCGAGGTAGAGGTGTATCTAACATTTGTGTTGCTCTCAGTAAAGGAGAGCTATTTCAATTTCCAATTCGCTGTAAAGAGTAAAAGTACAGTGAACAAGAAAAGGCAAAGAAGGCAAAAGGGATTATTCACTGGTTAGGGTCTTTATTGCAAATGAGAATTTAGACAAAGCTGTATTCTTTTCAGTAGACTACTAGCAGATTACTAAACCATCTTCAGTACACTACAAAATTGTGATGGCCACAAGGGATCTAAGACATTCTGGGCCAGATTTACCTTTATGCTCCAGCTGCTTTGCGCCACCCCAGTGATGTAAAGCAGCCAGATCATACGGCTGAATCTGATCTGTTAGTTCCGTGCATCTGACTGTTCTCAGTTATATCAGTGAAAATTGTGAGTCGCTCCACTGAATTTTCATGCTGGTAAAGACAGTGTGAGATCAGAATCAGACACTTTACTTCAGCGTGACATTCTTCATCCCCACTCCCAGGCTTGGGGGAGGTCACACCCAGGGACTATTCACCCCACTGCCAGGCTTTCGGGTGGGATTGTCAGCTCCAGGTCTTTTTCATCCTCCCTAAGCCTGAGCGGGAGAGGGAGGGGTGCTGTTCATTTCCAATTGT